TCTGTATATACACCTATACCTAGATACTAATATTTGAAGTGAGAGAAAGCATTATCCCCTATCATCTTTCTATAAAGCCTTAAAACAATGAAACCTTGGATCATTTTGTGTTTTGATATGAAAGCCATTGCTCTTTTCTTTCTCCAGAATCAAGTGTACTTCCAAAAGAATATTCTTGATTAAGATATGGTGGTTCAAGCAGGTAAAATTGCTATACAGGCGAGTGTCATGTAAAGGTACAAGATCCCAATAATGAATGCAACTGTACTGTATACCTAAAATGTACCAATAAGCCTAATGAGGAAAAAAAAAAGTTGATTCCATAGGGTCAAAGGGAGAAAAGGTCTTAGATATGGAAGGAATGAATACAATATCTATTCCCTACTTGTCTTGCACCTTGAACCCTGGTGAATCCACCATGTTAGAGAAATAGACCTGAGTGATAAAATAATCCAGAATCAAGGAGATAATATAAAACCTATTAGCTAGCCAGGTGAAGTGTACACACCTGTAATCTCAGCACTCTGGGAAGCCAGAGACACAGGAGGATTGCACTTGGAACCTAGCTTGGGCAACTTACTGAGCTCCTATCTCAAAATATTAAAAAAAAAAAAAAAAAAGGGCTGTGCATGGTGGCACATGCCTATAATCCCAGCACTCAGGAAACTGAGGCAAGAGGATCACTGTGAGTTCGAGACCAGCCTGGGCTACACAGTGAGTTCCAGGTCAGTCTCAACTACATACTGAGACCCTGTCTCAAATCACCCGCCCAAAAAAAGGAAGAGGAAGAGGAGGAGGATAAAGAGGAAGGAAGGAAAAGAAAAAAGTTGGACATGTAGGCCAGTGTGAAGTTCAATCCCTTGTACCGGAAAATAAAAAACCAAAACCACAGCAAAAAACACAGCCTATGGTACTTGGCAACTTCAGTAAACAGTATACTGTTGTTCATTTAAAAAGTTCATATTTAACCCACTAGATGGCTCTAAAAATAGCTTATCAACCAAAACACTTGAGATTGCTAGTCATATTTTCTATCATTTTGCCTAATGCTTTGTTTCATCAAATTTGCTATAAGAAATATTCTTTCAGTTAGTTGTAGAAATTAAAAGGTATTTAATTTTTAAAGATATGGAAATATCCATCAGACAGGCAAAATAACATTACTAAGAAGCAAGCAACATAAAATGATTTTAAAAGTTCAAATGTAGATACATACATTCTGATTATCAGGCTTTAGAATTTTTTTAAAAAGCCTATTTTGGGGACTGAAATAGGCTGCAAATGTTTTACATTTCTAATTTATGAACATTTAAGATAAATCCAATTGAATAATTTTAGTTTTACAACACATTCATGTTTTATATTTTTTCCCCTCATTTCAGCACAAATTGATAAAAATGACATTTGGCAAAGCACTGATTTATTGTTTAATGAGAGCACTGATGAGCAAATTGACTGTTGGGAGTAATTCTACATAATTTCTGGGGAAAAAATTCACAATTAAATTATGATTAGGCCTAGTTTTGCTGCCCATAGCCTGGCTAGGGCATGTTGAGACATAACTCCATTTTTACCTCTGGTCACAGCTAAAATTTCAATGGTTGGTGATGCACCAGGACAGGATTATATCAGCTGAAGACACCCTGGGGAGGAACAAAATCTTCATCCACATAAATTCCTCATTGTTCTAGAATTATCAATGCTGCCCTCTGAGTCATCTGTTACTCCCATGTAGGGAATATAAAGGTGTGGCAAGCTTGGAGTTTTTTGTCTTTGCTGCCCAGAGCAGCACTGATCAGGCCCAAAGCTCAGCTTCTTCTCTAAGTCTCATTTCTGTCTATATTAATTCTACTTGTGCGATCATGGCTCACAGGAGACAACTCACTGCACACGTTCTACTAACATTGCCTTTCACTGTTCCCTATAATTGACATTTTTTTACCACAGTTTAAATAGATTTCTCTTGGTTAGATACCCTCTTACAACCATGTTTTCATGCTAAGTATTAAAGAACTTTTGCCACTTATATATATTTCTAATAAACATCCACAGTATCAAATATCTGAACCATATATTTTACTTTAAAATTCAACATATACACACAGACTTCTTGGACAATAATTGTATCATTTAAGTATATATAATACTTAGTGCCAAAGCCTATAATTTATATATATAGCTCATTTTATCCTTTCTTTAAATCATTTATTCAGTAATTTAAATTTTATGTTATCACTAACAAAGTCGAATTTTAGAAATGTCTTTTTGTTCTGAGGCAGTCATTAATTTTTACATCTCTTTCAGATGGTAAGCATTTATCTTTTTAACTGTTATGGCAGTATGTTGTTTTGCCCCCACCCTCAGTCAATGTATGAACTATGTCTTACAAAAAATATAAATTCCTTCTTGTTGAGGTGTTAAAGCTCTGCCATAAGTGTTTCTCTTTTTTTTCTGAGACAGGGTCTCACTATGTAGTTGAGACTGACCTGGTCTCACAGAGAGCCTCCCAAGTGCTGGGATTAAGACAGGCACCACCACACCCAGCTTTGTCATAAGTGTTTTTAACCTGGGTGTGTGGATGAACTTCCTTGAAACTAGCAAATATAAATAAATGCAAATTTTCCTATGAATCAAATTCTTATTATATTCTCAATTATGATCCAGATACCCAAACAAGTATAGGAGACAGTCTAAATATTCAAATGACTGCCCTGGAAATGACATTTTATTAAACATTTGCTACAAGATGTGCTGATTAATAGGAAAAGTGAGGTAAGGGTGCTTTCTTGACAAGAAGGGATTTCAGCACCGCTGGTTATGTAACACAAACAAAGGTTTTATACATTTAGCAGAACCACTGAATCAGAAAATCAGGAAGCAAGCCTAGGATTTAGTACCAGTTTTATTTGTAACAACCATGTACAAATCACTTATCTATAAAATAATATTTAACATCTACTCCCCAATTCACAAACATATCACAAAATCAAATCTTCCCAAGAAAACATTTGTAAAACAAGATAATATTTAGCTTAGGATTTAACTCAAAAGTTGAGAATGACAAATTGAAGAATGTCTTTTTTAAATCAGTTACATACCTTAAGTGTGCAGATAAATAACCTGGTTGAGATAAACATTGTTACAGTTCAACCTTATAGAATATAAGCTAATGGGAGTTAATGAAGAAAAAGTTGGCCCATATGTAACACCTTTGAGAAATACCTGTCTATATTAAAAGCAGTGCTTATAATATTCCTGATAGCAGACTGAACAAAAAACAACCTCAGGCCACCACAGCATAACTACTCTTTTGAAGGAAAACACAGTGCTAGGGTAGACACCTTATTTGTCTAGAAATAATGTTAAAGAGGAACATCTTGTAGACTTTTCAAGTGGCCAATCAAAATGATGAAGAAAACATTGTGTTGGAATTTTTTATTATCTTTTTTCTTTCCTCTTTTTCATTCAAAAATTCACTTCACCATCTGAACCAGATTCCTCTATCCTCTGCTAGAGTCTAAGCAATATTAGCATTGTGTCACTAGAGAATTAAAAGGAATTAGCATGTTACTGAACAAAGATTCAGGAAGATATTTCTATGAGGGTATAGAAAACTTTATACACCATAAACTAAACATCTGTATATGCACATGTACACCACTTACCAGGTACATGTATCATGACAACCATATGTATTAATAAACCTTCAAAAGGTAAGCACCTATATTATCTTGTATTTAACTGTCAGTTATGTATAATTTAGTCTCTATTTCAGGACTTTCCCCTTACAATGACTGGGATATATTTCATAGAGAAACACAAAACAGATATAAACACTGCTTAGGGAAGTATTTTTGATGAAACGTATTTTCACTATTGGCCCCAAATGCCATTATCCACTTATGAATTTTGTTAACCTTTTATACAAAAATACCTGTGAGCTGATAATCAAAAACATTTATAGTGACTTAAAAAACTGACAATATTTCAATGTTACACAAGACAGTTTCTATACACAGCTTAAAGTTTTAAAGTTCTTTGTGGGCACTTGATGTTAGAGCTGGTAGCCACTATACTAATCTCAATAAAATATAACTTTTAGCTTATATTTCCAAAAACAACTTCACTAAAACAGTAAAGAATAAATCACTTCCTGCTAAAGAATCTTCTAAGATGAACACTAAACCTATATATCCAAAATATCTTAGGAGCGCAAGTAAACTTTAAGACAAGGCATGACCAGTGGATAGATTTATATTACCCAATTATAGTGAACCCTCAAGTTATGAGTGGCCTGATTTTAGTTTTAATTTATAACCAAAATCTTGAGTTAAGACCTGAATGCTGACGCTTGTGCTTCTAGATGGTCTCAGATACAGATTTAACCCTTAAAGGGTTCTGGAAGGAACATTACAACATCCTTTCTTGTGTGGGATTCACTGAGAAATCCTGAGCCAATGTCTAAGGACACCATATACAGAGAGACTTTGAAGGCTGTGTAGAGGAGCCAGAGCCTTCAATTGATCACTCTGAGTTATAACCAGCCCTCGCAAATGAATTGAGTTCATAAGTCAAGGGTCCACTGTATATGTGTTGTGAAAAAAAGGGCTGTTTGTCTGAGTCAATGAAGAATGTATCAGGTACAGAACAATATGAACTTCCACAAAGCAAGTTTGTTTGGTTTTTAAGTTTAGAAAGGTGCATAAAATTGGTGACACTATTAGAATGGACTTTTTTCAAGACAGAAAACTAGTTACTTTTAGCAAATACATATTGTATATGCCAAAATAAAAACTGAAATTTCTTTAAAACAGTGGAATTCTGATTTAAAAAAAATTGGTGTGCGGGCTGGGGATTTGGCTCAGTGGTTCCACTGCCTACCTCGCAAGCTCAACGGCCCCAAGTTCAATCCCCAGCACCAAAAAAAAAAAAAAAAAAAAAAAAAAAAAAAAAAAAGAAGGAACCT